GATTACTGGAATTGGAGAGCATTTAGGAAGATGTTTCCGCATTCAGACCCCAGTAAGTTCGAAAGAAGGCCCGATGGGATTTACTATAACGGCTCTAGGATGTACAGCAATGCGGACTTGAAACCTACGCTGGTTAATCAAATAGACGATCAACTGAAGCATTCGCCAATGCATAAGCCAACGCCAACGCATGTTGAACCCGGTTGGTCAAAGGAATTATTGCTGGGCAGCAGTACTTATCCGATACCCGCGGTTTCATTTGATAAGCACCCAAGCTTGGACCTAACGTTGAACATGCGGATCTCTAACGACCATTCCTTTCCGTTAAAGGTGCGAGATATCTTCAAAAACGTGCCCATTGTTCATACCACCGCTAAGGAATCTCACGAATGGTTAAGYGGTCCTAACATGCGTTATTGGCCGCAGCAGTTGAACTTTGCGGTTTGGTGCGCCACCAGCGGTTGTGGGGTAAGCGCAAACTTGATGAAGAATTCGATATTCATGTTTCACTTCCACTTCACGGTTAGAAGAATACTGCATGAGATGGGTGTTATTGCGCTGCCAGGAGATGCCACGTTTTATCCAAGAGATAATAAATACAGCGTGCCGGCTTATAACAGACTTTGTAAGGAGTTTGGTGCTGAAGGGAAGGATTTCCGATGTACCGCGGGTGCTAACAATGGTTTGGGACATATTTGGGCTTATTGGGGGATTGGTGGACATGTGTTAAGTGATAAGGAAGTTCATGCATTGAATCTACGATGGAACACGGGATATCATAAGGAAACTCACGACAGTAGCACCTTCTTCGAACCAAATGCCAAAACCACTAAGGAAGTCCGCGATGGACCTCTGTTCAAAGACGAGGGTGGTAAGTATGCAGGGGCTAACCCGCTGATTATCAAGATTACCAACGACGAGCAAACGAAGCAATATCTTAATTTCATACCCCCAAAAGGCAAAGGACTAACCAAAGCCGGCCTTGCCCGTTTGAACCGCAGCATAGAAGCTTACGTGTATTCTATCCTTGGAGCCCAAGTAAATACCCGATCAAGTATAATTGGAAATACGGGCGCCGCAGAAGAGACGCGAGCCGAAGCCCTGATCTTATTCGAAAGTTCGATCTTGGAGGGCGACATTAGCAAGGGCGTACGGCGTTACCAACTAGCTATACAAAATTCTAAGGCCCGACTGGACTATGCAGTAGCCCCGGGTTGTTGGTTAATGCCCAGTAATTTATCTATAAATACTGGCTCTGTAGTAGGATACAACAACGAACTTCAACGAGCTACTAAGGATATGAAGTTTGGGGTGAATGACGTGAACTCTGACACTCTTAGAAGGCACTTTGTTGAACAGCCTAAAAAAGTGCACCATACGCAACCACCTAAGAAAGTGCAGCTAACAAAAGAAGTATACCGAGCGCCTAAGAAAGAAGAGGAATATGACCACAACTTACTAAGAGCCGGTATAGTAGTTGCGGGCATTGGTTTGAGCTATTATATATGGCGATGAACAACCCCTACGTAGCTGGAGTAGATTGTGTCTATACGACTTACACAGGCGAGAAAAAATACACCCAAGCATCTTGGGTTGATGTCACTGGGATGTCCGTGAATTTGAACTACTCGGGAAAGAAGTTAATTCTTTGTACTATTTGCATTGGCACAGAGAGCCACGCCAACGTGGGCTTTAGGTTCCTGGATGACAATGGCATACTGCAGCCTATGCGCGCGAAGACGAACAACAGGGAGCCTGCGCATTTCTCCGTAGAGCCGTACCCCGGCAGCGCCGAGAATCTTACGACTTGGACTTCACACATGGTTGCTGATTGCCATGGGAAGGTAAAGCTGCAAATGCGCGTAGACGATACTGGAAGCGTTTGCGTGAATAGCATAGAGGATCAAAGAGATTAGCCTTTTAACCACGCTACCATTAGCACTCTTACGGTGCTTAG